ACTCTTTCCACGGAGATTTCTCCGAGTCCAGCAACCTCGACACCTGCGGCAGCATCACCGACCTGTAAAACCCGTCCACCGCCTCTGCAATCTCTTCTGCTTCACCCATTGCTTCCATCTGCGGCCACAGAACTTTCTCGGGAAATTTCCGGGCTTGGAAACTGTTGCCTCTCAAGATCAGTACTTCGGATGGAGCCAGAGGCAGGACGATTCTCGAGAACTTGTTCAGCGACAGCGTTATGATGTCCCTCGGTAGCAGCTGACGCTTCACAGCCACGGCAGTTCCTACCATCTTCCGTATCTGAACAGATCGGTTCAACAACTGTATCAGTTTTATGCTAAGGACCACCATTATCAAACATTAGAACATGACAGAGGAAAACAGACAGCTCAGCGTGTTTTCCTTCGCAGTTTACAGATGACATTCTCAAGCTGTTGATCATGAATGTAACATAAAAACCGAGCTTTTATAATACCTGATGCAACATAAAGGACTCGCCCCATATGGAGATCTCTACAAAGCCGAATCCAAGTGACTTCTCCAGCTTTCCACAGCTACATCGGAGAACTTTCCTGAAATGAGAAGCGCTTAGTTTATCTGTCTCGTCTGGTTCATGCAACCATTTCGCACGTATAACCAGATTTGAGCTCTGATTCGCAGAACCGTTCACTCGAGAGTTATCAGATTCAGCAAGATGATCATCTGTGTCACCAGAGTTTAATAAATTCAGTTCCAACGCTTCTTCTTCTTCTTCTTCATCACCACTATGGTTTTCCTTGTTCTCGATCTCTGTAAACCCAGATTTCGATGCTTGAAGTGATTTTCGTCTCTTTGGGGGACGCCCATTTCTTTGGAATGGCCTCGGTTGGGCGTTTTTTCTGTACTTTGATCGCTGTGTGTAGTTGTGAAAAGGATAGTCCCCCTGCAAGAAAAACCAACCCCAATGGATACGAAATCATAACAACAGAAGAAAGTCTCTCAACCGAAAGAAGGAAAAAAAAAACGAAACCCCACCTCAAATTCTTTTAAAATTTCGTTGAAATCTGAAATGTGATAATTAATCTCAGCTGAAGTGAAGTCATCCTTAATCCCGATAACATCGACAGGAAGGAGGTAGGAATACTTCCGGAGGGTACACTCTCTTCTTGGATCAAAACCCCTGTGATGATGCACAATGGAAGTATAAAGAATCATGCACAGGAACAACATTGTCCTAAGAACAGAACATGAAAAAGGATCTCACTCACTTCTGCGAAGGTAAAACACTGAACACTCTGATGTTCTCAGGAAGATGCATGCTGATGAGTTTAGCAAGAACGAAGCCATGAGGATCTTCCTTCCATGCCGTCTCGGGAATCTCCATTTTCAGTGTTATTGTAGTTGCCAAAGAATGAACCTAGAAAATTTACTTGGTGACAGCTCAGAGACAGATTCACGCCAAGAACATGATCATCAAAGCATAGAACAGATGAGGAAAGCTTACTCCTTTATCGGTGCGGCTACTTCTGGCCCAAGCAATCTTATGAAGATCGCCAAAGTTGCTGTCTCGGATCCCACCTGCCTTGTATATAGCACTCTCCAATTCACCTTCAATAGCTACATTTCAAAGTTTAACAAGCGGAGTTCAGCAATATTCAGACATAATCTGAGCACAAGTTCAAATTAACCAGTCGAACACCGAATGCGTTTTCGAGAGAAAATACATCACGAGATTGGATTATAGAGCAATTAGCCGAAGATCGAATTCAGTACCAACACATATGGGACCAAGAACTGCATTTCTGGGAAAAGACACAAACTTGAAGACGGAAAACAAAAACCCAGATGAAGTTCTAGTAAAAGGCGAGGACTGAAACTTACTCGAGTGAGCATGTTCGTCGCGTTGCATCTGCAGACCTGAAACAGATAACAGAACCTCAGAAGGGGAAAGAACAAGAGCAAACAGAATTAATCAGACAAGAAACGAAAAGAAAAACCAGACCTCTGTAATCTGTGCCCACGTACCCGACCCGCATAACGACCTTCTTCTTCCGAAACGACTCCCATTTATCGGCGAGAAAGTGGACGGTCTGATTTGAAGAGGAGGGCTCGCCGGAGCAGGAAGTGGACAGCAAAGATTCGGCGGCGGAAGAAGAGCAACGCACTCCCGTCGGTGAGACCAGAACCGGGAACCCGAATAACCTGGTCGTGTACCCGAATGCCCATGGAGGAACCGCGAGGCGAAGAGACGAGACGGCCATTGCAGAAGAATGGACTTGTTTGTGTTCAGCGCCGGGTAAAATTATAGCGCCGGTGTTCTAGCTGACAACTGCACACCGTTTTACATAAAAACAAACATCACGCAGTTTTAAAGAGGATATAAAAAACACCACGACGTTTGTACGGCGTTGGTGGTGTACTGATCGGGTGTTATATGCTTATGAGTTATGCCTGATGCCCTATCTTCATCAGCTTCTCGGTTCTATCCTCTTTCCAGATTTCTCCGAGTCCAGCAACCTCGACACCTGCGGCAGCATCACCGACCTGTAAAACCCGTCCACCGCCTCTGCAATCTCTTCTGCTTCACCCATTGCTTCCATCTGCGGCCACAGAACTTTCTCGGGAAATTTCCGGGCTTGGAAACTGTTGCCTCTTTCCTCGGCTCCACTCCTCTCCGTCTCTCGAGGAGTCGTTGCCCTTCACGGCGTCGTTTTCGAGTTTCTTACCCTCGGAGCTCCATTTCTCCACCCGACCAGCCTTCGACTTCGACGCCCGCGAAGAATTCCGATGCAATCGGGAGCAAGAAGGAGCTCTCCGGAATCCAACCGGTCGTCGAGAAAATGACGCCGCCGGTGCGGCTGGGGGCGGGTGATCCGGTTCGGTGGCTCGAAGAATGTGGCGTTGGGTGGAGCCGCGTTGGGTGGAGCCGCCGGTGGAGCTGTTGTGTATGCGCTTAACTCCGCCGTACCGGAGGTCGCAGCCATCAGTCTTCATAACTACGTTGCCGGATTCGATGATCCTGGTGCCGTGACGAAGGAGGACATCGAAAGAATCGCCAATAAGTTAGTGGGCTACTTGAATTTTGTTTTGGTTGTCATTGAACACCGAATTGGTAGTAACATTACCTTTGGAACTTTGTAGGTATGGTGTCAGTAAACAGGATGAGGCATTCAACGCTGAGATTTGTGATATTTATTGCCAGTGAGTTAAGCTCGAAAGCCCTGATTCATTATATAAGAACTTGGGTTATCTCTGTTTTCTTCTAATCTGAAAATTCGTTGGTTAATTCTTGTGGGTGAATGTTGATTAGATATGTAACTTCTGTACTTCCAAGTGGAGGACAATCTCTTAAAGGAGATGAAGTGGAGAAGATAGTTAAATTCAAAAATGCTTTGGGGATAGATGATCCTGATGCAGCCGCCATGCATATGGAGGTGTTTTTCCGTATCCTTTATCTCAATACGATTTAGCCTATGTATCTTGAGTTCAGAATAACCAAGTTACTGGTTTTGTTTTTTAGATTGGCCGGAGGATTTTTAGGCAAAGGCTCGAGACGGGGGACCGTGATGGTGATGCAGAACAGCGTCGGGTTAATCACTAGTCACTTGTGCTTGATTTTTATTTAATTTTTTTGGGAGAGTCAGGAACTGGTTGGAAATTAGTGCAAGAGTGTGATCACGAGTCATTTTCTTCCAGTGCAGGCATTTATGAAGCTTATATATGTTTCGAGTCTTGTGTTTGGAGATGCATCGTCCTTCCTTTTGCCTTGGAAGCGAGTTTTGAAGGTCACTGATGCTCAGGTAGGCATCTCCTTTTCTCTTGATCCTATGATTTACTTCTTATGTGTTTTGTGTTGTGATGCATACTGAACTGAGTTGCTACACAGTGAACTGAGGTTTTTGGCTAATGTATTAACCTTACATGTAGGTCGAGATTGCCATTCGTGACAATGCAAAATTGCTATATGCCGAAAAGTTAAAATCAGTAAGCAGAGGTAATGCCAATTCTTCTTTTCAATTTTAAGGCTGGTAATAACAGTCTCGGGTATATCCATGAGAAACATAAAAGCAGGATGATTTGTAGTAGAATTATATTTTTGACCCGTTTGAGCACCTGCTCTTGTAATGTTTTCTCTCAATAAGACGTTTACTTAAATCAATCGTCAATTAATGTTTGATTTTGAAATGGATTTATAATCTAAGCTTGGTTACTGATATCACATAGTTTTTTCAGCTTAATGCCTGAAAACAGGAATGATTGTCTGTGAAACTTGGTTTTGCAGATATTGACACTGAAAAGCTCATAAGCCTCAGAGAAGCACAGCTCTCTTTCAAACTAAACGACGAGGTACTGTATTTCTATCTCACTATGACTCTGCTCTCTCTAGTGTAAGTTAGCCTGATACAATAGTTTTTATCATCTTGCAGCTTGCGGAGGACTTATTCCGGGAACATACAAGAAAACTTGTTGAAGAAAACATTTCATCTGCTCTCACCATTCTTAAATCTCGTGCACGAGCAGCGTAATGATTTTTCTTTCGTTTCAGTTTACAGAAATACTTAGATTTCTTATGTTTAAATGTTTTCCTAAGTTAAGAATCTTAATATTAATTTTGGAGTGTAGTTTATAAGCTGGAGACTTCTTTAATGTATATTTAGTTTTCATTTTTAAGGATAAGAGAAGTAAAGCCTAGAAATGTCAGTTTTATGAGCTTTTCTGATAGAAAAATCCTATGGTTATAATCAGTTCAGCTCTATGTAAGCTAATGAATTGTTTCTCCAGGAAGGGCATCACTCCTGCTGTTGAAGAGCTTGACAAAATACTGGCGTTTAATGATCTGCTTGTTTCTCTGAAAAATCATCCCGAGGCAGATCGGTTTGCACGTGGTGTTGGTCCTGTTTCTTTGATAGGTGAGATTCTTTGTTATGTTGCTCTTCTTTTCCCCCCATGAGAGTAGAAATTCCAGGCACTTATTGTTGGGTATCTGTGGCTCAGGAGGTGAGTATGATGCGGAGAGGAGAACGGATGATTTGAAGCTCCTTTACAGAGCATATGCTACAGATGCTATATCAGGTGGCCGCATGGAGGAAAATAAGGTAAAACTATACCATCTTCTAGCTATGATTAATTGTGAGTTCTTCATGGATCATATGTTGCTGATGCTGTATCTAGTCTGTCTTTTCTGGTTCAGTGTCTCATTTCTAATCACACTTCTCCAAAATGATAGCTTTTGGCACTGAATCAACTGAGGAACGTACTTGGATTGGGAAAACGGGAATCTGAAGCTATTACTCTGGACGTTACATCCAAGGCATACCGTAAAAGACTTGCTCAAGCCTTTTCTAGTGGTGACCTTGAAGCACAAGATAGTAAAGCAAAATACCTCCAGAGGCTCTGTGAAGAGCTGCGCTTCGATGCACAAAAGGCAAGCCAAATCCATGAAGGTATGGATATTATTCTCTTTTGATATGACATCTTCTGGTATATTATCTCTGGGCTCTCATCAATTTGGCATCTGGGTCAAAGCCTGCACAAAGGCTGACGTAGTGATATGTACAAACCTGATCAGGCCAGAGTGGGCTGTACATGCTATTTGATAAAAGCATGGTAGTTTGTGCATAATACTATGGGTTTGTTTAGGGATCGTCTTCATCATTTGGTTGGAATATGGCATGGACTGGGTTCTTCTTATCATATTCCAACAACTGCCCTTTTCTTTTTGCTCAGAAATCTACCGGCAGAAGCTTCAACAGTGTGTGGCCAAAGGAGGGCTGGATGATGAGGATGCTGCTGCCTTGTTGAAGTTAAGAGTCATGCTCTGTGTTCCTCAGCAAACTGTCGAGGCAGCTCATGCCGACATCTGTGGAAGCATATTTGAGAAGGTTTGTTAATCAACACATGTTTGCTTCTTGTCTGTCTTGATCCATCTGTCTTCCATCTTCATCGGCTTTATCATGTCCGTTTAATTCATTTCCAGGTTGTCAAAGACGCAGTTTCTTCCGGAGTTGATGGTTATGATGCTGAAACTCGCAAACTAGTGAGAAGGGCTGCTCATGGTCTGCGTTTGTCTCGAGAGGCTGCCATGTCTATTGCTAGCAAGGCTGTGAGTATAAGATAATTAGCCTGTGTTTCACTATTTAGCCAAGCTTTTATATGAACTTCGATTTTTTTTTTCCTGAAAAATTCGTATGAAATAAAAAATATTAAACCTTTGCGTTTCTGCAGGTCCGTAGGGTTTTCGCAAACTATATCAGACGAGCAAGGACAGCAGAGAACCGGACAGAGGCAGCAAAAGAGCTCAAGAAGATGATAGCTTTCAACACGCTTGTTGTTACCGAACTGGTGGCTGATATTAAGGGAGAATCCTCCGACAAGGAGGCGGCTGTTCAAGCGGGAGAGCCAGCTCACAAGGACGAGGAATCAAAAGAAGCGGAATGGGGTTCTCTCGAATCGCTCAAAAAGACAAGACCCGACAATGCACTCGCTGAGAAGATGGTTAAACCCGGCCAGACTGAGATAACCCTTAGAGATGACCTTCCTAACAGGGACAAGACCGATCTCTACAAAACCTATTTGCTCTACTGTCTAACCGGAGAGGTCACGAGAATCCCGTTGGGGACCGAGATAACGACGAAGAGAGATGATTCTGAGTTCTTGCTTTTGAATCAGCTCGGTGGAATTCTCGGATTAACTTCAAAGGAAATAGTCGATGTTCACATTGGTTTAGCCGAGCAAGCTTTCAGGCAACAAGCTGAAGTGATTCTGGCTGACGGGCAATTAACAAAGGCTAGAGTGGAGCAGTTAGCCGAGTTGCAGAAAGAAGTGGGCTTGCCTCAGGAGTACGCCGAGAAGGTGATAAAGGGCATAACCACTACGAAAATGTCGGCTGCAATTGAATCGGCGGTTAACCAAGGGAGACTGAACATAAAGCAGATACGGGAGCTGAAGGAGGCAAACGTCAGTCTGGACAGCATGATTTCTGTGAGTTTGCGAGAGAATCTCTACAAGAAGACAGTGGACGATATCTTCTCATCAGGAACCGGTGAATTTGATGATACCGAAGTCTACGAGAAAATCCCGGCTGATCTCAGTATTGATAAGGAAAAGGCGAAAAGAGTTGTCCATGATCTTGCCCGGACTCGCTTGTCAAACTCCCTTATTCAGGCTGTGGCTCTACTCAGGCAGAGAAACACAAAAGGAGTGGTAAGAATCCTTTTACCTCTTTTACATGAATCTCCTTAGAATGTTCTGCTCATGGGCACGGATTCTTATAATTGCTTGGGCTCGTTCGATATCGAACTCTGAATCAAATCCTCAAAACGCTAAGAATCTCTTGGTGAAATGGGTACCAGGTCTCGTCGCTCAATGATTTGCTGGCATGTGACAAAGCTGTGGCAGCCGAGCCAACGAGGGGGGATGTGCCGGAGGAGCTGGCGGATCTGTTAGCCATCTATATGAAGAGCGAGCCAGCCCCTGCACCTGAAAAAGTCTCCCGGCTTCAATATCTTCTGGGCATTGACGATTCAATGGCAGCTGCCCTCCGCGATATGGAAGGAAGCGTATTCTCTTCTGCATCTGAAGAGGGCAACTTTGTGTTCTAAGCTCTTCGGGTGAAGGGAAGAGCTACAAGACGAAGGTATCTGAAGTGTTGTAATGCTTATGGATGAACGAGATTTTGAACTTACCAGCCTGTGAAAAATTTTGTACTGCAACAGGTGGGCAGCCGAGCCAACGAGGTGGGATGTGCCGGAGGAGCTGGCGGATCTGTTAGCCATCTATATGAAGAGCGAGCCAGCCCCTGCACCTGAAAAAGTCTCCCGGCTTCAATATCTTCTGGGCATTGACGATTCAATGGCAGCTGCCCTCCGCGATATGGAAGGAAGCGTATTCTCTTCTGCATCTGAAGAGGGCAACTTTGTGTTCTAAGCTCTTCGGGTGAAGGGAAGAGCTACAAGACGAAGGTATCTGAAGTGTTGTAATGCTTATGGATGAACGAGATTTTGAACTTACCAGCCTGTGAAAAATTTTGTACTGCAACAACAGTTAGAATGTGGGTGTTGAATATTGAATCGAAGGATTTCGAGTTTAGAATAATAAGGCAAATTCCCGATATGTGCTCCTTTGTACAATCACTATACGAATTGAATGAAGTCTCTCACTCAGTGATCTTGATGAATGTTTCGGATCGCTGAAGCGATTTTCTTGCAATCGTACTCCATCGTCTTCATCCAATTCTCGAAATCCCCTATTTCCTGCATTTCCATCACGAACACGAACTGGAAATTAGAATGCGACATTTTCCGTTGCTGACTAATCACGTTTTTGAGTATATCATGATCTGAATCCCAACCTTAATGGCGGTGTTAATGGCGTGAGTGGCGGCCAACCATTGATCGGTCTGCTTCCCGAATCGCGCTATCGTCACCGCCAGATTCCGTATCTCCGCCTCTATCCTCTTCTCGTTCACGAAGCACTCCTCCACTCCTCCGTTTACCGCTTCCACCAGCAGATCCGCCGCCTTCGCCGCGTTCCTTATCGCGTCCTTCCTCGCCTTCTCTGTTTCACGTCGCCGGAAATCTCGGCGTTTTCTACCCTCGAAATTTTCTCGGGAAACAAACAGAAAATGTTAAAGGGAATGAAGGCAGTTACCGACCGGTCTGCTCCCGGAGCCGGAGAGACGATCGCTGGTGATCCTCGATCAGCTGAAGGAGACTCGATTCCAGCGTTCCTGCCTCCGCTTCCGGCATCTGTTTATCCGATGACGGCACCACGCGCCCACGCGCCGCCGTCAGGGACATCGACGTCTTCATCCTAACTCCGCTTTCTTCGGCCCTGAATACCCAAAGCCCATGGACATCCCTTCTCAATAATTAATTATTTGTGTCTCAGTCGTGTTATCTCTTATATCTGCTGTCGCACTACGTGTCGTTTTACTACCATTGAAAACGTCGTGCAGTCTCGATCTTTCGTTTCAGATTTTGAAGGAGTCAATGAGATTGGTCGTTAACGAATAAAGATGATTACTTATAATATTTTGTAAATTAAAATAACTCTATAAGATCTAGGATCTAACATAACAATTTCATTAAAATTAAAATAAGTTGAATGATTCTCACATTTGAATTTAGTTAAGGAGAAGACCTTGGTGAGTGTGCATTAAAAGTGGACTTCCCATCGTCTATGTATATATTGCCAATACTTTATTTTGATATCAACCCTTAATTTGCATCGTCCAAACGAAAAATAAAATAGAGTAACTTATGTATGTATGGAAAATTTAGTGAAATATAATGATACTTCTTTAAGATATTATCATATTTGTAAGCAAACACCTTTTCCAAAATGTCCTCTCTTGTTTTTAGATTTAAGCTGGGTTCATTTTTCTTTTTAATTTAGGGTTTAGCTTCCAAAGAAAATTATGCATGCTTCTAAAAAAAGTTGGTTTTCAAAAAATTATAGAAATAATAGTATTTTACGAAAAAAAATTTAAAAATGAGATTTAGGGTTTTATATATTACTAAATTCCACCACTAAAATGCTTGCATTAACATTTTATTTGTATATTAGAAGGAATTCAAAAAATAAATAAAATGTAAAAGGGAAAACTATATTGTATTAAATATATAAAATTTAAACGAATGACATATAGTTTTTATAGGAAGCAGATTTGATCTGAAATTAATTAGATACAATTTTTTAAAAAATCAAATTGAACCAAACTTAATTAATACTAAGTAATGAAGGGGACTAATATATATATAATTGATTTTCCAAAAACAAAATAATGGGGAAAAATTGAAACCAAAATTGAAACCCTAATTATCACATACAATATGATTGTTAGGCGTTGTGTGTGTGAGCTGTGTAGATGCCATGTGGAATTAAGAGAACGTTAATCCAATTAATGAAGAAACTATGGGACTATATATGCGTGATCACGAAAACATTAATTATATAAATATCGTCATGTGACGGCTCTGTTAGATATTAATGCAAGATCATATTGCTTTCGTTGGTCTGATTAATTTAATATAAGTTGCATAATTAAACCATTATATATATATATATATATATTGATTTATTAGTCAATGCAACCATTTAATGTGAAATATGACCCAGGGTTATAATATAATCAGGGAGGCTTATTATTCGAATCTGTGTTAATCGTCAAAATTTTCTGATAATTGGGGATTTGATATTAATGCCAATGAGGATTACGTGTTCGTATTTTTTTCCCTTGCAATAGCCTTGAAACCTATGAATTTTCACATGAATGATTGGGAGAAAAAAGCATCTATAGCCCGTGAAGCAAACATAGCGTGCAAGCAAATTCCTTGTCGCGTGCAATGTCTAAATACTACAACATTCAATTCATCAAGTTGGTTTCACAGTTCATACATACATACATACATATATATATATATATATATAATAAAGAAACAAGATAAATAAAATATTGTTGATATATATAAACATTGCGTTTAGATTTTGTAGGTCTACGTCTCCATGTGTCCAGATGACATGAGCGAAGAAGTTAAATGTGAACTTCCGAGTCTTGGCGAGGCCAGTTATATACATTAATTTCACAGATCTATAATCAAAACAAATTTTAAAAAAATGGAACCATATATATATACAATGAAATATACTTGCGTAAGTTTTGCTTGTCTTGTTCATGAAAGGACGGACGAGCCATTGTATTGATTGTAAATAATAGGGGTGTAAAATGGACGGACCGGGCCGGATTCGGACCGGGTTCAATTCGGGCCTGGAAGATTTCAAAATTAATTTCGCTAACAACAATAAATTTATCAATGAACCATTCATTACTCTATAGATTCGTCGATCATCATTGAAAATCACCATATTCGCTATATCGTAAATTACTGGACTGTCCCCTAACCAGCCATGACGTATTTTTTTCCACAATGTGATATTGCGACATTCGTATATATAATACGATCCCCTTTTTTAATTATGCATGGAAACTATACACGTAAAACTCATACGAAGTAAAAAAATGAAAAGAAGATGGACCTAACGCATTTATTACGAAGTGTAATCAAGAGGTCCAAGAACCATACAAATCAAACATTAATTTCCAACTTCGTTATTCCACACGTCTAGCTAGGGCTAACGTACGATATCCTATGAAATAAAGTTTAAAAAAAACAATATAATATAACTCTTCAAAAAAAAAAAAACGAGAGAGAGAGACGGAAAGAGATGACCCACCAAATAAAAGGAACGACGATCAATCGAAGTAATGAACATTGTTGTCGCTAGACATGGAGTTGCTGTAGCCCGCGGCCGCGGAAGACGACGGCGGATTGTACATGGAAGCCGTGGCGGATGAGTTCGAATTAGATGAGGACGACGACGACGAAACCACCACCGACGGCGAAGGCAACGCCAGCGGCGGCGTCCTCGGAGGAGGAGGCGGGGGCAGTGGCGGTTCGGCTGTGCAGAGAACCGGACAGAGGCAGCAAAAGAGCTCAAGAAGATGATAGCTTTCAACACGCTTGTTGTTACCGAACTGGTGGCTGATATTAAGGGAGAATCCTCCGACAAGGAGGCGGCTGTTCAAGCGGGAGAGCCAGCTCACAAGGACGAGGAATCAAAAGAAGCGGAATGGGGTTCTCTCGAATCGCTCAAAAAGACAAGACCCGACAATGCACTCGCTGAGAAGATGGTTAAACCCGGCCAGACTGAGATAACCCTTAGAGATGACCTTCCTAACAGGGACAAGACCGATCTCTACAAAACCTATTTGCTCTACTGTCTAACCGGAGAGGTCACGAGAATCCCGTTGGGGACCGAGATAACGACGAAGAGAGATGATTCTGAGTTCTTGCTTTTGAATCAGCTCGGTACGGACGGCGGCGAGCTCGGCCTGGAGGGATTGAATCTGGTGCTGAAGGGCTGAGATCGCTCCCATGCATCCGTACACTGGATCTCTTAGCCTTAGGTTCGCCTCGTAGACCAGACTGTTCGCCGCGTCCGCTCTCTGGCTCTCTGGCACTTCCTGTCCAAAATTCATTGTTACTTTATACACGTATATATATATATATACGTATATATGTATAACATTAGGTCGAAGGATTACCAAGAGAAGCTTGGAGACGTTGCTTGCGCCGAAGACCTTGTGAACGGCAGCGAACTTGTGGGGTTCGCGAGGGGAGAAGTAAGGAGAGAAAGGACACTCCTCCGCACAACGGCGGCGGAGCAACTTGCAGGCGGCGCACGGCGTGACGGTGTTGAGCATCGTTCCGACCGTCGGCGCCACATGTCTCCTCCCCATCACTCCTCCTTCCCCGTCGGAAGACAAAACGGCATGCCCCCCCGTCGTTTTGGTGATGATGACCTCTCTCTTTATTTTCTTCCCTATCTCGTTATACTCCCCAATTTCCTCCGTCTCTTGGCATCCAAGCATGCTATAGTTAAGAGGGCTTGTGAGCATCAATGGCGGAAAGAAAGGAGGAAGAAGGAAGAAGATTTAGGTGCTTAAACAAAGGAAAAATATGCAGAGGCCAAGGGGTGAAGCTTGGTCTAATGTCCTTTATTAATAAAATATTTTTTTACCTAAATAATTCTATATATTTATTTTATATATCTCTCTCTCTTAATTTCTTCGTTGAAAATTTTGTCTAAGAGAATTTAATGGCTTAATAAATTAATAATACTACAAATATTTTTTTTAATTATAAAAACGAGTAAGTACACGAGGGAGACAAACTAGCTAATAGCATCACAATGAAATGAATGTATGGTTGATGACAGAGAGAAGATATATAGTTTTATTTTTACAAATTCTCAAGTTGGTCCTTTCGTTTATCATGCCATTACCAAATATCGGATCATTGGATCACATTACGATTGTTTCCATAATCGATTGAAAAAAATTCTATTCGAATATTATTAAAAAAAAATCACCAAAAAAAATTCTTAAACCTTGGGTTAAATATTATATATATATATATATATATATATATAAATGAGTCGTTGACGCGTTCTTCTGTAGCGTGGATCACGCTACATCAATACATGGGCCCAATAGTGATGTCTAAGCCCATTTTAAAACCCATTATCATCACGTAGAATTGCGAATTTATTTATTTATTTATTTATTTATAGTCAACGCCTTTAATTTTATTTGGAAAGTTTCTATTGTGCTATATATATAAAAATATCACTTGATGAAACGAGTAGTCCAAATGTTAGGTTAGCGAAATTGATAGATATAATATAGTAACATGAATTCTTAACCTTTAAAGTATGAGCATATGGAGTGAAGGCTCAAAATTACATATATACATTATATTTTATATACAGAAAATATAAAAAAAAAGTGGGGGCAATAATGGACATGTGGCCTCACGTGGAGAGGGTTGCCCGATTGGAATCCTAATTAAATGCTCAAATAGTATAACGTCATTTTTTTTTATATAAACTTGAAAAATTGTTGTTTGTTTTTTGTTCCTCAATTAGTCACATGACTCATATGGAGGTGTGGTGGATTTAGATCTCATATGTTAATTTTAAATTACCCAAAAAGCCATTTATAGAATTTTCATTCATCGAATTACAGTGTGTGTTTATATAAGTTTAAAAATATAATAAAAATTAAGATGTCCAAATCAAAGGAATAGAAGGTTAGCGCATGTTTTTTTTTATAATCCGAAAATTTATCGAGATTTTGGTCTAATTATATCTCCCAGAAGATCGAACAAATTCGGGTGAATACATCTCTACGTTTGAATTTGAACTCATGATAAAAACATGTGTTCCAATTAAACCAACAAAGTTCGGATAAGGTTAGTGAATGTTATTATGTCAATCATCATATACACACAAACTAGGTTAGAGATTAGATGACTAACATGTAATAATAAATATCTAAACAAAATATATATTTGAAAACTATAATAGTGTGTGTATATGTGCATATATATACACGTTTATCTGTATATTTCCTATATTCGCAACGAAAAATATGATGTATTATTATTCCAAAATTCTTGTAACAAGAGAATTTTAACGTTGGAAGATTTGACCACAATACTACAAAAGGGGAAGTGTTTGTCATAAAAAGACTAAAGAAGATACAAGAACAGCAACAGCATTAACGGAATCCTACAAGACCATTTACCATATGGTAACAAAAATCTCTAGTCATATGGCTTGTAAATTCATCTAAGAAACAATCTATCAAAGATGTATGGAGAATTCCTGGAGATAATCGTTCTTGAATCTTCTCCATAATTTACAGACAGCATCTGTCAACATTGAAGTGTCATGCTCCAAAGACTTGGGAACTCAAAAAGTAAATCTAACGAATCCGTAAAACCTAACAATGCCCCCAACTCTTACAACACTTTATTTCACTTCCATGTAAAGATCAGACACTGATACAATTATAACTCTGATCCATATTTCTATTCAGTGAGACGTTGATCGAGTAAAAATCTCACACACTTCGAAGATTACAGCAACAGAGAGCAAAGAGATTAGATTTGCGGATTGTGTGAGAATGGTCATTTGGCATCTCTCAGTAACACATTCACGATCGAAGCATAGCATCCTCCGCACTTGCTTTGATCCGATCCGTACCCGAACCAGATTCTTCTGTTGGGAGCTCGATTCACTCCCCGGAACTCCGATGTCTTTGCCGGAGATGAAGGGACGGAGCACGACAATGATCCCGAAGAACAAGCCGATGAAGACGACGATGACGGCGAAGAACACGCCGGAGACGACGGCGCACTCGCTCTCCGGCTACGGTTCTTGCGGAGGACGGAACCCAGGAGAGTGTTAGGTTTACGGTTTACGGTCTTTGGGGAAGAACAAGGGTAGAAGTACGAAGGCGGAGGCGTGAGTGGAGGAGCTGGGACCGGATCGGAATCGGAAACGGAAGCATGTTTGAAAAGCCGTTTCGGAGTTCCCGGCTGAGATTCCCATTTGAAGGGCACCGAGGCGGAGGATCCGCCGAAGTAATCTTCGCCGGCGGCCTCTCTGTTGAGGAGCTTGGTCGTGGAAACCCTAGAATTGTCCAGTTGGGGCATTGGGGCGAATCAAAGACGTGATTTTGCTACCTGGGTTTCCTCTGGGTTAAGTTACTGAGCTCGAGATGAGGAAGATGCTCGAGTTTTGGTTGGTTAGTTTTTTTTATATTTCAAGGGAAATAGATGGAGAACATGAGAGAGAGAGAGAGAGATTCAGATTTGAGAGTTTGGCATTCTTTAAGATCTTATTTTATTATTCTTTGTGGAGGTTTTGAATTCAAAATGAATATACAGAGTTGACCTTGACACAGTAGGTGGATGAAGATGGTGAAGCAAACAGTTTCATGTTTTACAGACATGACTCACAACATATCAATTACTTATCCCATTACCACTTCCTGTTTGAAGGTTTCCTTGTTCCAAAAAAAAAAATATACAACTCTGCAAAATTTGAGACCTTGTCGTCAAGTCTATCAACTCAGGGAACTTTTAGCTTCTTCTTGATGGATCCAACTCTGCAACTCGGCCAAGGAGTCAGCAGATCTATCACCTGAACTTCACCCGATATCCGGAGATGGTTTCTCGACCGATCTCTAGTCACAGCCTTTTGATTTTCCTGTCCCATTTTCTACACTTTCATGCAACTGATCTTTGATAGCAATGTCTCTACTTTACCAGTTGCGTCCTCAGTGTGTCTTCTTCTCCAGCTCAGACAAGCATGTTCCATACAGCAGTCTCTTCTGAGGGAAAGCCACTGGTGTTTGCCAAAACTGTCATCAATTACAGCATTTGGCTCTTGCGACTCTTTGCTGCAAATTTCTTTCTCACCGAGAAGGCAATTATCCGACGCTCCTATGGCATTCCAAGGTGTTTGCTTGGGTTATTATCACACCACATCCTCCTCGTCCCTAACATCGAAACCATCTTCATCGTAAGATCGATAACCATCTATCTCCGTGGAACAGGGAAGCTCGTCCATAGGACAAACTTATCATTTGATCTCAATCGATCACTGTGAATCTTCTACGTCGTCATCAATAAATCCACACCTAAAAAGTCTGTATTCCCGAGTCTCATTCTCACATCAAGCGTATCTTCCTTCCAGGTTGCACCCATGAAAGATAACAGTGAATCTCATGATTCCCATCAAACAAGCCTTAGAATCAATAAAACCCACGAGCCACAAACCGTTCCGATTTCATCATCAATCTGATCCACACGTTATATCCATGAAAAGCGCAGTGATTTAGTACGATCTACCTCCGAATCCAATTGGAGGTAAAACCGAAGACGAATCCTCTAGAAGCACAAATCAACGAAAAAATTAAAGCGCACAAGCCAAATGAATCAGGCAACGCAAAAAACAAAACAAAACAAAACGAGATCAGAGCAAACAAACGAAACCCAGAAAGCAGATCAGATACGAGAAATTATCCGATGTAGTTATGAACCTTGTGGCGCGGGGTAGAGGAGGTGAAGAGATAGATAGCAAGGAGAGAACATTTTTCATACCGTTGGAGGTGATTTCACGCTCTTCTTCTTCTCCGATCGGATCTAGGGGGTTTAGGGTTTCTCCCCCTCTTCCTCATTCTCCTTTCGTGAAAAATTCGACCGTTGGATGACAACAGAAGAAGGCCATCTTCCTGACCGTCACCGTCATCAGATGTAAACAGTTGTCTTCTGGGCCTAAAGCTGTCTGAAAGGCCCAGTCCTTAATTCAGGCCCAATACAAGCCCATTCAGAAAGGTGGGGGCCATCATTACGCGGGAATTATCGGGAGAGTGTCGGATCTGCTTTGTAAGATCGCTTTTACTCCTCTCTGGCGTCATCCATTGCCTACGTGTCATTTCTTTTTTATAAGGTAGTTTTTACTTTCTGTGTTATCTCCTTGTCTGTTTTTTTTTTGTGCTTCTTTGTCGTTTTATACCCAACTGATTTTATCTGTATTTTCAATGAATGTATATTTTGTAAAATATTATATAAGATAAATTTTTTTACCTATAATACATCTTTATAGTGGAATCTAAAAAAATTTAGCGGTGTAAATTTAGATTCGAGATTCGAAGTTCGATCTAACCCATTTCAAAAATTAGTGGGTTTTGGGTTAAATTTTCTGGCAAAAAAAAATCGAGTTTTTGGGTGGATTCAAATCAATCCGAAAATCTGATATTTAAAATAAAAAAAAATTAATATGTATGAAAGAAATTATACGGTCCGTTCCAATCCGATCCGACCCAAAATATAACATAGAGCCGAAAAATCGGATCAATTCGAATCTGAATCCGAAACCGAAACCTTTGAACCGAGTGCGGAGTTAGGTGAACCGGGCCGATATTGACACCCTAATATTTCCCCATGGAATTCGTCGATGATTGTAGTAAAAAAAAATTGGAATTTGTACAGGTTAATATATTGATTTATGCAAACTACGTGCGATCTACTGTTGGTGATAACTGTATTATTTTCTCGGAATCGAAGAATAATCTTACTCTTTGTTGAAAATAGTAGTATATGCATGCACGATTGCTTTGTTTAATATCCATTTTAAAAATATTATAATCGGAAAAACACTGAAACACCGTTCATAATTATCCCATAAACAACGACAAACACGATTACGTATTATTATGAAACCTAAACTTTAAAAAATATGTAAAAATATATATAAATTTTAATTTAATTTGACAAATAAATATACCAAATATTGAAATTTACTAAAAAAATCTTTCAACTTTTCAAATCGAAAACAATTTTATACACTACACCATTGATAATTTTACTTAAATTGTTTAAAATTGTTTCATAAATATATTTTAACAACTCTTAACAATTTTTATTCAAAAATAATTTCATATTGAGATCTTACTGATATCTATTCGACTTTTCGACGAATGTCTAAAAAATTATTTTCAGATTCAAAAGTTTATATATTTTTTTGCCACATTTGTATATTTAGTTGTCAAATTAAAATTTGATGTGTTTTTTTGTATATTATCTAGAGTTTGTATATTTTTATGGGATTTTTTTATATTATTGTTATTATAATGATGAGAATTATAATAAAAAAGTGCCAAGTTGGATAATCAACAAATAGATAATGCACGACACACGCTCTGTCTCTGAGTAGAAAAGCAAAAAAAAGGTTGGGAGCCGAGAGGGGACTGTACCTTTGGCTTTGGGCAATGTGTTTGGTCGAAATGATGACACTGTGAACGAGAATACTCTCGTGCTCTCTTGCAATCATATTCAACCCCCAATGATTGTATTTATACCTTAAAACTTATCTCATTGTTTTCAGCTTCAATCAAAGTGGGTCCATTTATGGCCTCTCTTGAAGCCATCACCTATAATATATATATATATATATATGTATATGTATATGAAATACACATTCAGAAATAAGGAGGTATATGTAATGATATAAGAATTCGTTTTGTGTAAAATATGGGCTACATTGATAATGTACAAAACGAATTCTTATATGACAAAATGGGAAATATGAAAATGAGCATCTACATACAATACCTCTGGTGAATGCAGGACAAGAACGAAAACCCCTTTTATTCTATGAGTCTATATAGTCTCCATTATTCCATTACACACACACACACACACACATTCATGGTAGATTGCCATTATCATGATCATCAAACCACGAACAAATACTACACAACATTGGTTGACCCATCACCGCCTATGAATCTGATTTTTGCGATACGAGTGAACTTAAGATCAAAGGGTTGGTTTTGGGTCTCATGATCAAAATATCAGTGATTCTTATCAATTGCTAACCTTAGCCGTTGGTGAAATCTGGTCGAAAGTCTCATTGTCATGTTTCGGGGGGACGAGGACGAGTTCGGGCCTTAATTTGTTTCTCCACATCTCCATGTAGCAATCCGAGTCGCCGCCTGTACGCCTCGCCTCTACCACCACAAACCGATTGTTGAGGCGGGAAACGTATATCGCCATTGCAAATTTACCGTTTTGACCCTCTATCTGGAAGCCGCATTCCTCTTTCTTCTTCTTCGCCCTCAGCTTCTCCGCCCTCGCGAACTTCTCTACTTTTTCCACCAGTTTCGCTGGACACTCTTCCGAGAGGAATCTCTCGCAGTCCTCCGATTTTCCGGAACTATCGAACAATCCGGAGAGGTCTAATCCCGATGAGAAGGAAATCAGATCGAACGCGTTCAAGTTCTTCAACCCCTGTGATTCCCCTTTCATCTCATCGTCATCGTCGTCCTTGGAATCGGGCTTGACGAGGTCGGATTCCTGATCAGGTTCTTCATGGAATTTGATCTGTTTGACTCCTCCTTTGATAAACCACGGGTCCCTCAGGATCTCATCAATGGTGATCCTTGTCTCCGGATTGGTGTCGAGGACGCGAGAGAGGAATCGCTTCAGTTCCGGAGACATCCATCGAGGACATCGGTACTCGCCTTTGTAGATCTTCTTGTACATGTTCATGAGATTCGGGTCGTTGAACGGCAAATAACCGGCGGCGAGGACGAACAAAATTACGCCGCATGACCACACGTCGACCTTCGTTCCTTCGTACCCCTTCTTCGAGAGAATCTCCGGCGCCACGTAAGCCGGAGTCCCACACAAGGTGTGCAATAGCCCGTCGGGTCTGATCTGATCCGTCAAAGCACTTAGGCCGAAATCGGAGACCTTTAGGTTTCCGTTTTCGTCGATGAGGAGATTCTCCGGCTTGAGATCGCGGTGGTAGACGCCCCGCGCGTGGCAATAACCGACGGCGGAGATCAGTTGCTGGAAATACGTGCGGCTGAGATCCTCGCTGAGACGGCCGTGCTTGGCGATCTTGTTGAAAAGCTCTCCTCCCTTGACGAACTCCATGACGAAGAAAATCCTCGACTTCGTCGCCATGACCTCATGGAGCTTCACGATGTTCGGGTGATTCAATCGGCGCATGATCGCGATCTCGCGCTTGATGTTGGAGGCGAGGTTTGGATTGGCCGCGAGTTTCTTCTTGTTGAGGATTTTGACGGCGACGCTCTGACCGGAGCGGCGGTCGCGGCCGTGGAAGACCTTCGCGAAGGCGCCGCAGCCGAGGAGCTTCCCGAGCTCGTACTTGCCGAACAGGGCGGCGGAGCATCTGTCGCCGGCGTCATCAGGCTCGATCTCTGGCATGATTCCGGCGACCAGAGATCGATATCACGGGATGGATTCAGCAGAGAGCGGTTTCTTCCGCCGGAGAATTTGAATCTCCTTCGATTCGTTTTGCTTTGCGCGTAAAAGAAAAGTGCGTGAACTCTGATGCCTTTTTTTGGTATAACGCTTTATTTGTTTGTTTTTTTAAATTGGAAAGAAAAAGAAGAGAAGGTTTAGGTATTTAACCAAGCGGAGGGAATTTCGGGAGCTGATGGAAACGCCAGAGTATTTAGTGATGCCATTATCTTATCTGCAACATTTAATTTTAATTTTAGAAAAATTATTTCTTTTTTTTCCAACATATTATTTAATTTAAATTTACGACTTTTAGATTTCTCTAATTATATCCACATTTGTAGGTTTACACTTTAGCAGCTAATTAAAAAAAAATATAGCCAATTCTTGTGCGCATAAAATAACAAAAAAGAATTTGACTGAATTAATATGGTTTACATAAAATATCGTTTAACATAAGGTGTAGCTCAGAATATCTTCTATAGAAATATTTGTTATTGTTGGTACGGCCGTGTGTCAAGTGTGAAGTATTTTACACGTTCAAAGATGCCGGCATCCGGGCAAACTTAAAAAATAAAGAACATCTGATAGTGAAGACACGTGGCGAAATATGAGTGGTTGAAGAAATTGACTGCTACGTGTGGGCCGCCGGTTGCCGTCCACTCGGTTGGGTTTCAAAGATCGGTGCATAAATCCATTCGGTCACATAATTGAGGAAAACTATTTTATGATAAAACATTATTATACAGATCATCCCATTTGATTCTTATTCTGCTTGCAGTTGCACGATATAAATATAAATATTATAACGCGATTCTTCGAATCATGTTGTCACGAGGGAGGTTAGACAAAAGCCCATTTAGTAACAGTATGGTTACTAATTATATATTTTCATATTAATTCTATATCCGATTGACCCACATAAAATTATAGAAAGTGCTACTCGTTGGGCACATTGGTCATATCCTCATCTTGGTGAATGGCTTTTAATATTTAGGCTTTGAATGGTAGTGGCTTTTATTTTGGACTTTTGGCTTTAGTTTTTGGTTTTTAGTTTTTAGTTTTTGGTTTTTGGATTTTGAATTTTATAATATTTGAAAACTCAAAAAAAGTAACTTTTAGTTTTTCATTGATTTTTTCACTAAAATGGTTTTCCAAATTTTTAGAAAAAATAATTTTGTAAAAACTTAATATTGTTTTTTTTTGTTTTTGGATTCTAAAAACTCTAAAAACTCCCACCGCTTTACAAAAGTTCACTCCGATAACTCACTGTTCTCTTGCTAAACTAATGGGCTTCATCTTCTGGGCCCATTAACACTCATGGGCTAAACTAAAAACGCTTTCCGTTAAGCATTATACTGACGCGCTTCTCCGGAGCGTCAAACGCACGCGCCAATGTCATTGCGTAATACATACGTCTGTTTTCTTATATTATATGTACACCTCGGATATATATATATATACATACATGTAATGCCCTGAATTTGAACAAGTTAGCAAAGTACCATAGCATAATGCTGTTTTATAGCGAAATAAAATCGCTCGCATTAGTTAATTTGTTTCCCTGACCAGAGATATATATATATGGTCGGTAGAAACGGTCAGGCCGTATATTACGTGACCGACCATCTATTGTAATATAAAAATAAACGTTAGCATGATAAACACAAAGTCTACAAAATATGTATATATATATATATAGGAATAGGAATAGAAATTAAAAAATAAAATAAAATTCAAGGCATGTACAATTTGTTGCGGCACTTGCATCGCCAGGCCTCGGGGTAGTACTCGGCGGTGACGGGAGTGCCAGGAGGAACGGGGACGTGGACGGGCTTGCACGGCGTGCATCTCCCGCACTTTCCCGTACACCTCGGCGGCCATGACCCCATCCCCCTCATCCTCCTCCCTCTCATCTTTCCCTTCCACCATTAATTAATTAATTAATTAATACAAATATATTTTTATATTCGTATATACACAACGAACCAAAATCAAAACCAATTTGTCCAGTGTTTCTTTAAAAAATTGTGTAACCTCAACCTCATTCCATTCGTTTTTTTAATTAAAAAATAGATGTTGAGAATGAATTTGCTGATATTTTTTTTTTCTTCTAAAATGCGCAGATGAGAAAGAGAGAGAGAGAAAAAAAAAAAAGAGGCAATGGGGCTTGAGACAAAACGCGGGAAAAGCTCCAGAGAAAGCGCTGAGCGCTGACGGCGCAAGTTACCGAGAAAGGCACTGAATCCCTCAACTTGCGCCTACGGATCTCACTCACACAGGATCGAACCGCAAGACTAAAAGCGGAGCGGGCCCCACAAGAGGTGAGGTGGATGGACCAAGACAAGAGGACGGTCCGTGTCCTCGGTCCTGATGGACAGAACGTACGGCCCAGATTCTCCGGCAGATCGCGTTCGGTGCTTGCGGCCCCTCTCGACTTGGCGTGGGAGCGCCCTATCATTGTCTCAGGCGCATTTTAGCTCCCTCCCTTTGTTTTTTTTTTCTCTTCTATTTTTCATTCCTTTCACTCTTTTTTTTTTAATTATTATTAGTATAGTGCTTAGATTTTTAACAGATAAATCTATGACATCTTACCTTTGAATAATTTTCTAAAAATTGTCGGGTTTTTTGTTGGGTCAGTGGATACAAGGACAGTGCACTTGTATGTATTTTGTGGGGAAAAAAATACTCAATTGTTTTTGTTTATTTTAATGATTTGTAGAGAAATAGTGTACATATGATCGTTTATTTAGAAAAACTATATGTGGATCATGCAATTATTATTTTTTTCATACATTGTATCATCAAAATGTGTGGACCGAGAAGAAAAAAGATCGATATATAGTTAAACTGGTTTGAATTTTATAATAGCAAGATGGGTGGAGGATGAGATCAACCAACCTGTGGATAGAAGGTCGCTAGTTTCCCAGAAAAAGAGTTCCTGATATCTGCATATATTCCCAACAATGGCGTGCATGATCAGTAACATTATGTACCCGTTAACGAAAACATAACTAAAGACGAAGATATATAGATCATAATAAAGCAAACAAAGAAAGGGCAAAGAGGAAGAGCTTATACATGGAGAAGGGGGAGACGGGGCAATGGCGCAGAGGAAGAAGAGGCAGAGGAAGAATACAGAAAGAGTGAACTTGCTTCTGCAATTCGTCGACGATGATGATCTTCTCTCCGGACCCATGATTATGGAAACTAATCAAGGAAAGGGGAGAGAGAACGTGAAAGAAAACGAAAAACCCACCTCGAGGTTATTGAAGCGTTAAGAGAGAAGAAATCATATATTGATTAGGGGAACTCGCTCACTCGCTCACTCACTCGCTCACCCAGGTTGTGCGTGTCATGCACATAAATACGAGAAAGCAGAGTTTGTGGAATTTGGAGAAAAAAAGATGAATTTTTTTTTTTTAACAAATGGTTTCGGTCCTTTGTGATTTGGGATTTCCCGAGAGCGGAAAAAAAAAGGAAAGAAAAAAGTGGCTGAGTGGTTGAGAGACTTGGGAAACAGCAAAGAACAAAGGAGAGTGTTATGATGATATGAGATAAGGGTTTTGCTGCATTTAATGTATTTGCAAATTTGAGAGAGAGAGAGAGAGAGAGAGAGAGAGAGAGAGAGAGAGAGAGAGAGAGAGAGAGTTCTAAGCATTATACTAAGTTTGGGAGTTGGATTCTCCTGCAGCCTTTCCTCTCTGTCATTGTTCCCTTCCCTTCCCCAGGAATTGCTTGCAGCATACATACATACATACATACATACATACATACATACATACATACATACATACATACATACATACCATATAAGTTATAAGCATATACGTATTTGTACATAATTTGAAATTTCTTTATACGCTACCTCACTACTCTACTCCCTTCAGGGGCCGTACGATTCGAGATTAACAATGTTTTTTACGGTACGTATATAATCCCATGAACCGTACAAATCAATGTGTACGAGGAGAATTCATCATTCATGAGTGGCTTCACAATTAAAGCATACAATCCTGCTAGTGTGCGCAAGTCATCGTGCGTAGTGGATCTTGAACCTGAATTAAATCCCGACCGTTACCCTGATTTCTTCATGCAAGTATGCATATACATACGCATATACACACACCGTAGGTGGAAGAGTAGCTGAAATCTAGTAAGTTACACGCAAATAATAGACGCGATGCCACTGTAATAAACCATTGTGATTTTAGGTTATTTCACATTTTTTTAGAAAAGATAGAAAAAGTCACATATACCCTTGTTTAATGATAAAAACAATATTATCATTAATAATTTATTTGAATTTAATAGGGATAAAATTAGAAATTATTGTAAAAAAATGTCTTAAAAATATAGAATGATAAATATTTTGAAACATGGAAAATAATCTAAAACTACAAATATTTTGAAACGGAGGGAGGTTTCTATTTTTAAATTTTTCGATTGAAATAAAATGATATGAAATTAATTACGAGTTGGGGTAGGTTTATGAAAAATTATTGCACCGAATAACCTAGAAATTAAGCTGCCCTTGATTTTCATTAAGACAAGCGTATAATTTCAGCCGACCAAAGAAAATATTGGTTTGATTATTAGTTGGTCGTAGCATGTATTTTATGTCTTTCAATAATAGAATCACGAATAGAAAGTGAGATTCCAAAGGCAAAGAGGTATGGACAAAACATCCCAACAAATGTGTAAGATGCGATGCATGCGTTCATACAAATCCTTCCTTATATGTGTATACACACACACATACACACTATATATATATGTGTGTATCATCATTATGGAACACCGCCTTCGCACATTGTTAAAAGTCAGGCACTGTATTCTTTCTTCTGTACTTTTTGGTCAAATTTTAATAGTAAGCGGATTTTATACCGTGAACTCAAATTTGATATTAGATAGTTTAACATCTTTGTCCCTTAAAGAGAGTTTAAGAGTTCGAACTCTGTTTTGGAAATAGAGTAATCTTTAAAATCAGTTTTTATACATTTTCATATGATAATAGAGGGACGAATGAATATTAGTTTATATATATAAGATTTAAAGATTTTTTTTTTGATAATATATGATTTGTCAAGGATGAAATTCGAATTTAGGTAGAACACTCTTTGCACATACCCATCTACCAGTTGAGTCAATCCACTATTGGTTTTATATAAAATTTAAAGATATCACTTAAAAGAGCTTGTTATCGATATAAAAAAGATATAAAAAAGAAGATTTTATATTTTGGATTAGACTAGACAAACCCCTCATGCATATACAACATAATATCATAACAAAACCATCTCTCTCACACACATATATATATATATATATAATATAAGTGTATAAGTATACATGTATGTATGTAGGTGTAGAATTAAGAGGATATGAGATGGTGGGGTTAGTAGCAGCTAGGGTTTTGACAGAGATGAGATGTGTATCTGAATGGGATTATATCCTGAGGGTCACATGCCAAGGTAAGTCGCCCTCCCTGACATGCCACTCCTCAATTATTTATATATTTTTCTTTTTATATCTCTTACAGACATCTGACACTATCTTTGTTTTCTCCCCTTTTCCATTTTCTTTTTTTAAATAATAATAATTATTATTATTATTTGCCTTTGTGAGTGATTGCGATGGATGGGACTTGCGCTGTTTCCTTCTACCCTATTTGTGTCCGAGTGAAAGGAGGGATCGCAATTGAGGGCAAACCCCAAATTGTACTTCCTATGTACCGATTGTCCTAATCACGGGTTTGAATATGAGTTTAGATCACGTGAATATATATGATCTAGTGATATTTATAAATTACATATATCTAGTATACATACAGAATGATGGTAATCAATTAGGAAAATTAAATCTTATTGTCTACCAGTCTCATATATATATATAACCTCTGCATCTCTCTTAAACCCTAATATTTTCGTACGACAACATTCTAATATATATATATATATATTATATGACCTCTGCATCTCTCTTAAACCCTAATATTTTCCTATGACAACATTCTAAGCTCGTGGCTACCATCCAAAGCTATTTTCTCACTGTCTTTTACTAGTTGCCCTTTGTTGTCATTCATCATACTCGTTTTTTGTTTTTTTATATTCCGAAAATTCATATATCTTTCTACCCAATTACATCTCCCAAAAGATTGGAAAAATCTATTTGAATGTTTCTCTCCAGATGAAAAACCCTCGAACTTGAATTGAGAAGCAGTTTTACCCTACCCTTGCGAGTTGAGCCACCTAATCTTGGATATTTTTTATTCATTTTGTTTTTACTTGTATCCAATATTTTGTGACTTTTTGCTCCCACAACACACATATATATGCGTGCGCGTGTGTATATATATGATACTAACATTTTAGAGAGCAGAAAAGCCTATATGATATGTTATAAATATAGTCATAAATAATTCAATATATATGTTCGTTTTATTACAACCAACTACCAAAATTAAAAAACATAGAATGACCAATTTTCATTTACCCGTAGGATTAAATGCATCGTACGCATATACCAACCTCGACCTTCATATATATCTATTTTTTTTTAAAAAAAAAGAAAAAAAGGGTTTCTCCATGTGATTGAATAGCACCTTTTTTCCTTCATGCTTACTGTCCAAACCTTTGCCTGCTTTCCTCGTATCTCCGATATATCATATATCTCTCTCTCTCTCCACATCATGTATATTGTATTTCGCATTTAATATATATGCATATAACAAAATAAACGGATGGATGAAAAACGAGAAAGAAATACAGAGTTTGGAGTATTCAAATGGAAGGAAGCCAAAAGTTGAAAAGTGAGGTTTAAGGAGAAAGAGACAAGAGATGCACGAGTGCTTTTGAATTCTTGCCTTGTGTGTTTTCAATCTCCTCTTGGACCACCTTCCAAAACCATCTCTCGTTTCTCTCATCTCAACTTCTCTCCCCCCCCTCTATATCCTACATCAATGTGTGTGTATATATATATACATATATATTTGATAAGTGGGGAGGTTCACTATGCTTTCGACCCAATTAATCCTCTGAATCCTAGTCCCGAAGTTAACCTTTAATCATATAATTAATTGTGTTTTTTCTCCTCACCTTATGAAAAATCGAATATGAACCTCTTAGAAGTGACCTCTCAATCATCCGCCCCAAATACCACACAACCATCACAAGATGGTGTGTGTATATATATATATATATATATATATATATGTATACGGAGAGATGTATATACTTACAAGAAATATATATACCACTACGACGTGGACATACAAATCTTCTTTTGTCCATATATACTATATATGTCCCCGTTAGGCTGAAATAGATAGCACATCTACATACATACATATATATACGCGTGTGTGTGTGTGTTTGGTTGTTTGTTTTGTTGGATCGAATAATCCAGAGACAATAAAGATTTGATAACACGACGTGTATATATATATGCAATTGAAAAATCGCAAGTACGAAGTCTCGTTTTCTTGAAAAGGAGAGGTAAGAGAAGAGACGGAACACATGCATGCATGCATGCATGGCCTCACTCTCACATTTACATCTCTACCCCCACGATGTATATTCAATATTTATTGGCATATAAATTAATCCGTGGAAATTTATTAAAGTGGCTTTAGACTAATTAATTTTCAGGTCTCGAACAAATTATCAGTAAGGGGGATGCTAAATCGATCTTATACATATTATAATCATAGGCTTTATTCGTCTGTAATGAATGTTGAGTAATGTAACCAAATAAATGCAATACAACTATCAATGTTTTTGCAGTAAATAAACCCTTTGGTTAAAAATACCTAATTGATGGATTGGGCAAATATATAAAAGTCCAATGGGCTAAATTATGAGATTCAGAGCCTTGGATGCTGCTGCATCATCACAAAAGCGGTTTTATATCATGATTTATCTTAGATTCGACGATCCATCGGATGATTTGATGCCGTTTACAGATTCTGGGTTTTCCAAATTCTGCAGACAGAAGTATCCGTTGGTTGTCCATACGCCCTTGGAGGCTTCCTTCTTCAGGAATTTGGATCAGAAGGGGTCTCGTGTTGTCTGGTTATCGTCCAAGCACGATGTTCTATCGAATTTTTCTGCGAAAATGGCAAAATGGGTTTGGATCCTCGAATCGATTACTGTTTCGTTGGGCCAAAAAGCAAAGATCTTTTTTGTTAGAAGAGGAAGCAGATTCTCAGACGTGTACATGGAGTCTGTGGAAAAGGGTTACTTATCGAAGAACGACAAGCGGGCTTAAGCATCGAGTTCATTACGATTCCTGGTTTTAGAATCGGAGATTCGATAGCTAGATCTTGTGTTTATCTGTCGACGAAGTGAATTGCAATACCGCTTTTTGCTGATCACTTGTTCAAAAGGTTTGTGCATAGTTTTCAGGTAAACAAATGATGTATAGAACCCTTTTTCAACTCTGGTTTTGAATTTTTCAGATGCTCTTCTTGCTTTTGCTGAGAGCAATTTGGTGGTTTAGAGTTGAAATTGATGCAGAATGATACTGGTGGTGGGAAGATTTCTGGAGCCTTGGCTTCTTGGGTCTTGTAAATGGGGGCTTTGACACATAAATTATCCTGTTTCTGATGAGAAATTCATCTACAATTACATACTCGTATAGAAAGAACTTCACACTTTTGAAACTTTCTCAAAAGATAGAAAAACTTGGCAAAAGTTCAGCATCTCTGCAGCTGATTCATGACAGTTTTTGTAGATAGATTCCATCTTCTAGGGATCTTGATTAGAGTTTTTTTCTTGTTCGAGGGACATGGCTCGGCTCCATTAACGGAACAATAGTTTCTTTAGTATTCTTCTGAGATTCTTTGGCTCAATCTTGGTATTCATTTTGGAATCAACATGTAGGGGTATTGGTTTAGGATTGTTTGGCATTTCCCCATCATGAAATCCGGAAAGTACAGCTAAACATCCTGTACACATACTGTTTTTTGGTACCATGTTTTCTGCATTGTCTAAGCATCCATGACATAAAAGCTGATCAGCTCACTTCAATTTTGAAATTGAAAATGTAAAATAGCGTCAGACGTTCATTTCTATTTACCCATACAGCACAAGGTAGAGTGATTTCTTGAAAGGAAAGAGGCAACTCATCATTCTTCATTGGTCTTCCTCGCCTGAAAACAGGTCTCTGCAGAGCTCTCCATAGAATCTGGACACGAGATCGACAAAGACAGGGCTCTTAAGGTTCTTCCAACAGTACAGAAGCTCCTCGATGTCCATCAAGTCCTCCACTTTTCCTTCTTCGACGACCAAATGAATCAAATAGTTCTCGAAGCTTCTGCAAGCATCTTCCACAACCTCGTCTGCAAATGAATTCATTTGGCTCGTTTTCTTGGTGCTCACGTAAGCCGGTGTAATAGGCGAAGGGAACAGCTTCTTTGCTGGCGTAACAGGAGACTGTAGAAGCTTTGCCTCGCTAACACCGACTGCACTTGAGATGTGAGGCGATCAATAAAACAAAATCACTAAAGGCCGAATGCAGAAACAGCTAGGTTTGTTGTCCTATTGATGGGTCTAAGGTTTTGATCCTTTTTTACCAAAACCGAGTCAGTGGCATTTGGCAATGAGATTTCACCTATTCAAGATCAATGAGCAGGGAAAACTTTCTGGCCAAAATGTTCAAATTGTTAGCAATATTCGAAATGAACTTTTCTGTCTTATATCGAAAGATTGGAATTTTTCTTACATGAAGAGTTTCTGGCCGCACTCATCTTGTGCTTCTTCTGTTCCTTTCTCTTGACCAAACAGAGACAAGACAGTAACGTCGAAGGACGTTTCTCGGGAGGCTGTCTCGGCTTAGTGTGGCGGAAACGGGACACGAGGGCTCCAATAAAGACAGGCTTTTTAAGCCTGAATCTGAAGACAGAGGCAAACCTGTTGCATGATCTCGAAAGCTTTGATTTCAAGGTAATCAAAGCCTTCACTCTCATGTCTAATGATGGAGAAAAGATGAGAGATTTCGATGTTTGGTGATTACCTCTGGTTTTTCTTTTTCTGTATAGTGTTTAAAGTTGGGTGCTTTGTGTGGGGTTCACGTCTTGGGGGG